ACTGCTTGGCAGAGGCAGCACTCTTTTCACTAAATCTTACGTTTGTGTAACTTAGCCTTTTCTAGGTGAGTTTATTGGTTAGTCCCTTATAATACCTGTTCGTTACCTGTTTTCTCCTTCACCATTGCATGAGGTCTGACTTCGGAGCGGTAGAGATGACCCCAGGCATGCTGGGGAGATGACCCCGGGCCTTAGGCAAACGAAGGTAATCTAACCCCACAAGTGTGGGCTCTACCCCTTCAGAGCCTTTTGAAACAGACTAGATTATAAGCCCCGAATGTGGAGTAGGTCAGAATAAGAACATCCGGGACCCCTCCGGCTCGCACTCAGAAGAGAAAGAGTAACGATCCAGAGGCGTGCCTTAGCATGACCCCAGCCTAGTGGTCATTCTTTGCGATCTTCCATCCTCTTCAGCACTTTTTTTTTTTTTGCATCAACTTTTTCTCCCTTCTCTCAAACAGTCCGTTTGTTTGGCCTCTTTGTTATTTCTAACATAAATGTTCCCCCACCCATTTCCTCTGACCTACCAAATTGAACCTTTGCGAATGCCTGAATGGACAAAGCCGGGGCTGTGGGATTGTGGAGGATGCCAGAGGCACAAGATGAGCCCTGCAGTCAAGTCAGCGGCAAAGGGCAAAGGTGAGCGGCGCACTGTGGAGAGGCGCACTGTGGAGCGGTGCACTGTGGAGAGGCCGGGCGCACGTTCTGTAGGGCTGACGTCGTCGGCAGAGGCAGAGTGGATGGGGCCGGGGCTGTCTTTCCTTTCTTCAAGGTCTCAGCTCTTAAGTGGAGCAGACATCATCAGAGGCAGGATGAGAAAGTGGCGAATCTGTTATCGTCCCTCCCTGCGGCAAAAAGTATATCCGTTAGCAACGGGATTCTTTGCTGTCTCCAGGTCGCCCACATCACGCTTCAAGTTAATTGAGACTCACCAGGACACGAGCAGACAGAACACAGAACAGTTCATTCGAAGGTGCTGTGTGTGCTGGGAGTGTGGCTCTGTCTTGGAGCGGGTGCATAGCATCTGCAGAGCCCTGGGGTCCCTCCTTAGCACTGAGAAGAGCGGCAAAACAAGCTAGAGAACTGATGTTGCTCAAAATGTAACGTGACTTGTTGAAGGGAGGCCTCTTGCTGGTTCCCAGCTGCTCAGCCCCGAAATAACCGCACAGAAACTGTATTATTTAAATCACTGCTTGGCCCATTAGCTCTAGCTTTTTATTGGCTAACTCTTACATCTTAACTTAACCCATCTCCATTAATCTGTGCATCACCACGAAGTTGTGGCCTACCAGCAAAAGTTCTGGCGGGGCTACACAGCTTCTCTCTCTGACTCTGCCTCCTTTCTCCCAGCAATCAATTTAGTTTTCCCCACCTACCTGAGTTCTGCCCTATCAACGGGACAAGGCAGTTTCTTTATTAGCCAATGGTATTCACAGCATACAGAGGAGAATCCCACATCAATGACTGGATGCTAATAATTCGGTATTCAGTGCTTTAGCTGGGCAGTGATGAGGCATGCCTTTAATCCCAGCCCCCAGGAGGCAGAGGCAGGTGGCAGATGGATCACTGTGGGTTCAAGGCCAGCCTGGTCTACAGAACCAGTTCCAGGACAGCCAGTGCTACACAGAGAAACCCTGTCTTGAATAACAACAACAACAATAACAACAACAACAAATCTCCCTGAAGATAATTTACTAGTGAGGAGCCCAGTCTCTGTTGTAGGTATTGTAGGGGACAGGTAGGCCCTTCCTGGTCATGCCACATGAATGCTTTGAGAGGCAGCTCGCAGATGAGATACCCAAGACTGTGACCCCGCTAAGAAAGTACCATTCTCACCACTAGGTTGCAGGATGCTTTTTGGTCTAACCCTTGGCATTCACTGTCTCAAGAACCCCTTCTTCATTTTGGTCATGGTTCGGGTAGACTGGGGTAACCACCCTCTTGCTGTGCGTCCGAGCAGACAAAGCGCCCATCTGAATACCATTCTCTTTCCTGACAGACAGAATGAGTCAGAGAGGCAACTCCGTCACCTCCATTCATTCTCTTTGCTTTAGATGTCCTGCAGTGATAATGTCTGGGGCCATAAGTGGCACACTGTGGGCGTTTGAGGACCTTTAAAGAGAGAACGTGCTGCCCCCATAGGCAGGGCGCTTTCTGAAGGAAGCACAACAGCGAGCCCAGGGCTCCACACTGCTGGAACTCAGTAGACACTGGTTTCCCATGTGGCAAGAGATGCCGGGGAGGGCATCTGTGTTCCACACAGAACAAACCTGCTTATTTCTGAGTCACTGTAGATATGGTTTAAATGGACACAGAACAGGGCTTTAGGCTCTGCCCTGGGTTCAAGTCCTTCTCGGCTACTCACAAGCCTTGTGATCCTAGGAAGGTCACTCAATCTTCATGAATATCTATTTTCCCATTCATAAATTAGAATAATTAAGGATAGGGTTTGCTCTATAAGGCAGGCATGGCAAGAGGATTGTAGATTTGAATTTGGAAGCAACCTGGGCTACATAGTGAGTTTAAGGCTAGCCTAGGCTGTATAATTAGACTCTCTCAAAAAAATAAAAAAGGAATGAAGGAAAAGGAAGAATTTTTATATGCTCAGTATGTATAAAGTAGATCACACATATACATGTGTTGGTTAGCTTTTTGCCAACTTGACACAAGCTAGAGTCATCTGAGAAGAGGTAACTTCAGTTGGGAAAGTGTCTCCATAAGGTTGGCCTGTAGGCAGGCCTGTGGCCTATTTTATTAATGGTTGACGTAGGGAGTCCAGGCCATTGTAAGTGGTGTCAGGCCTGGGCAGGTGGTCCTAGGTTGAATAGGAAAACAGGCAGAGCAAGCTAGGAGGTCCAAGCCTGTAAGCAGCACCCCTCCATGGCGTCTGCATCAGCTCCTGCCTCCAGGTTCCTGCCCTGACCTCCCCTCACTATGGACTATAGCTGTAAGCTAAAATAAATTCTTTCCTCCCCAAGTGAAGGCGTAAGTCACAAACAATGCCACACCAATTCGGGGTTATGATTATTAGGGTGGTATTTATTTAAAGGGGAAAAAACTTACAGATCACTGTCCCAGGCAACAGCCCTCTACGCAACCAGGAAAGGAGTCTAGTCGCAGGCGCGGAGCAGGAAGTGAAGAGAGCGAGGAGAGGGAAGTGGCCGCTTTTTTAAAGGGAGAGAAACCACGCCCCAGTGGGCTGGTACCTCAGCGGTGATAGGCTGGAGGAGTGGGAGGACCTCCCGCAACACCCAAGTTGCTTTTGGTCTTGCTGTTTATCATACTAATGTAAATCTAGCGAACACACACACACACACACACACACACACACACACACACACGGGCATGTAGTTAAATGTCCAGTAAGTTATCTCTGTCCATAAAAACTGCTATTGTTACTGGGCTCAACCTTATCTTGTAGTGTCACATAGTGGATATAAACTCTGAGGGCCTCCGGGCCTTATTGGGAAGGTGGAGCCAGTGTTACCTGCCTCTCAGAACCAGCCTAAGGATTAAGTGAGATGCTGTGCAGTCTGGCTTGCTTATATTCGTTCCCTCAATCCACCTTTATCTGCTGCTTGGCTCTTGACTGAGATTCCTTCACTGACATTCCATTCCAGAAGTTTTTTTTTTTTAAAGTAAAAATGTATGATTGTATGTGTGTATATTATGTGTATATGTGAATGTGCACATTTTGGTCTCGCCCAAATAGTTGAGGTTGGCATTGTACAAGTTTCTCTCTAAATGCCCCCTTGGTCTTCCTCTATTAGATTACCATCCATCAAGAACCACGTCTGGGGTCTGGAGAGACAGCCCAGCTGTTAAGATAGCGTGCTTCTCTAGCAAAGAAGGCGAATTCTGTTCCCAGCACCCATGCCCACGAGCTCACACCCTCCTGTAACTCCAGCTCCACGGATCCCACACCTATGGTCTCTGTGGGCATCGACGCACATGTGCACATACCCACGTACACATAATTTAAAAGATAAAAAGACCTTTAAAACCCTTCGTAACCAAGTCCCCGTGCTGTCTGTGGATGGTTTGACGACTAATTAGGTACACATTAGACCAAGTTGGCCTGCAGGTCATTTGTTTTCCTTTTAACTTTTGTCACCAGTGACTGCCTTAAAGCCAATTGCTTCTCACAGACTAAGGTTCCATGGCAGTCTTTGCATAGTGGGGCCACTTCCAGGTGGATAAGGCTGACAACGTAGATCTGTGAGAAACAGGGCTGCCATCAGGGGGCGCCAGAGATTCTCGCCGCCAAGGGGGAGGAGCCCTGTAAAACTGCAGGCGGATTTTCTCCAGGTGAATTCCTGGAGGCACGGGGATCTTGGACCTAATCCAATATCTATTTTCTTTTCCTCCCTCCTTTCCTCCCTCCCTCCCTCCCTCTCCCCACCCCAGCCCAGCCCGCAGATTCTGATAGATGAGCGTGCACGCCTCTAGCTCCAGCCGGTGGCCTTGCCTTTCTGGGGGCTCAAGCTAACCGTCCCTGCAAAGGGATGTATCTGGCTTCATTATTCCGTTATTACTTCCTATCTCGATGCTTTACCCGAACCCAGGGCCTGGACCATGCTTCTCAAGAATAGCTGTCAGACTTAAGCATTTAATGACACCCACGTCGGTCAAAGTCTGGAGTCAGGATCAAGTGTGGACCCGCACTGTCAACTCCAGAATCCCTGGGGACCTAGTCAGAATGCCCATTCTCACTTCCTATCTCTGTCCTCCATTGTCAGTCTCTTGGGAAGGGAGGGGGTATCCCTAGTGGGTGACCATGAGATGACTGGAAGCGGACATCCAGTGGATCCGGAGGCGCAGCGCTGGAGTGCGGTAGAGCTCCCAGCTCCGGGATCGTGGTCACGTGGGTTCTTTAGCTAACCACCCACTCCTTCTTCACCGTCTTTAAAAGGAAGACGGACTAACGGCGTTAGTCGTGGGTAATCTTTGCAGTCTCTGCAGCTGCTGGTCTTTTTGAAACGAACTCCCAGATCCCTGCCTCCTCCGAGGCTTTTAGAATCACCTCTTGAAACTTCCCGGGAGTAGAGGAGGCGGGGAGCCCGGCCCGGAGGAAGCTGCTTGTGCCGCAACTGGCATCCTTGGTATCCGCTCTGAGTAGAGTCGCAGCCACCGCAGGGCTGAGCGACAGGCAGTGAACTGCGAGTCCCGCGCGGGGACCGAGGAAAGCACGTGCCTGCATATAGAGAATGCAAAAAAGAGAATGTTTACCTGCCAGGTAAGTGCCCTTTGCGCAGAGTGTGGTTTCACTGACGGTGTGGATTTCCGCACCGGGAAGCCAGCAGTATTTAGAACAATAAAGGGGCCGCGGGGTGGATGCGACTGTCTCGAACACTACTGGAAACACAAATTTTATTGACTTTTGGGTTGGTTGTGTGATTATAAATGTCTTTTTACAAAAAGAAAATCCCCGTGGTTTTTCTCCGTGGGTTTCTGGCAGTGGATGCAATGATGATGCTTCTTGCCCAAGCGTCGTGGACCAGGGAGGATGTGCCTGCCTCAGGCAGGTGTCATAGCTTGAAAATGAGTCGACTGGCAAACCTTAGTCGTGGCAGAAATAGATTTTTTTTTTCCTTTCCGGATAGGCTGAGCTCCGTTAAATCCAATCTCTCTTATTTGCCGGCGAGGAAGCTAACTGTTGCTTCTTCACAGTTACCTCTGGTGACTGTTTCAGAGCAGAAGTGGAAGATTAGGTCAAGGGAATATTGTTTTTGTGTGTGAAAAACAAAACTTTGAATTTGAGTGGAGCTCTAGTCAGAAAGTGAGCTTGATAATTTTTTTTTTTTTTTCAAGACGGGGTTTCTCTGTGGCTTTGGAGCCTGTCCTGGAACTAGCTCTGTAGACCAGGATGGTCTCAAACTCACAGAGATCCGTTAATGATTTTTCTTATATTTCAGAAGACAGACTGGTGTGGCACGCAGCACAACCGGGACAGAGTTTTGTTTTATTTCAAGTGGTCTTTGTGTGTGTGTGTGTGTGTGTGTGTGTGTGTGAGCATTTCACTTGAAATTTCATTTTTGCTGTAATGATCCTCTCTCTCCGTGTAAATGCTATTTGAAAAGTGAACGGGAAGATTAGCTGACCTATGGGGACAACGAAAAGTGTGACAGAAACTTTCTTTCCCAAGAAAGCCCACGGAGTGGTTCTCAACCTGGGGTCGTGACCCCTGGACAAACCTCTGTCCCCCAAGATATTTGCATTGCGATTCATAACTTTGGCAAAATTACAGTTATGAAGTAGCATTTTATGTGGTATAATTTTATGGTTGGGGATTCCCCACAACATGAGGAACTGTGTTAAAGGGTCACAGCACCGGGAAGGTTGAGAACCACTGCCCTTACCACTGCATTCTGTCGGAAGGAAAAGATCGCTAAGTGTTAAAGAAGAAACTTAAGGGCTCCGTTTTATGTTCAGAAGTTTTCTAGATGAATCTGAGATTCTTGTTTCAAAAGCCGTGTTAGAAGCCACACTTTAAGCCTTACTCAAGATGTGTGTTTGAAATAAACAAGAAGCGCATATAGGACTGCTTCAAGGTGAGCTCAAATGGATCTACTCAGATTTGACATTTCTCAGAACGTATTCTTCATATAAAAAGATAAAGCTTAGTACTAAATTCAACCTATCAAATACAAAATTATCCTTTAATAAACATTACGTACCTTGCGGAGACTAAAACACTGTAATTCTACCGGCAATGCCTTAAAATATATTTCATGATAAAATGTTAATTGATGCTCCAAGTCATCTTATGCAATGTATTAGAAAGTGATTACATAAAATCCTGAGGCAATCATTTGCTGGTAAGTTTTTGTTGATTGTATGCAAAGCCCTTGAAAACTAAATATTTAGATATTAGATTTCATAATTCAGTGTTTATTACATTGTAATAGACACTTGAAAAATTATGCTTATTACAGTATTATTTACAGACAGTTGAATTTAAGCTTTCTAAAAAATACCACTTTAAGAATTTTGACATGGAAGGTTTAGCTTTTTCTCATTTTGGAAGATACACATATTGTTTTAAAGAGTTACATGTAAGTCAATTATTAGTGGTCAGTTATTTTAGAGTAAATGTTCTTTGTTTCTAATATGAAATTGTTTGAGGGCCTTAATATTTTGCTTTGGAAAAGATACATATGAAGGTAGTAATTGCTAAACAGAAACACACGAGAATGCTTGATGCTTAAAAGATACACCTAAAGGAATGTGGCTCAGTTGGTGAACTTGCCTCAAATGCACAAAGCCCTGGCCTCCATCCACAGCATCACACGAATCAGGCGTGGTGGTCCTTATCTATTATCCTACAACTCAGAATATAGAAGCAGGAAGATCAGGGAGTTTAAGGATGCCCTTGGCTACATAGCAATTTTTAAGCCAACCTGGGTTACATGAGATCTTGTCTTAGAGAAGAAAGGAGTAAGAAGAGAAATGCATTTATTTATATGTATTTTTCTTGTCTGTGAAATTCTCTCTGGTGAGTATAAACTGGAATGTTTGAATAGAATGCTTGGAGAGGGGGCGAGTGGACAGGTGGAGGAAGATGACCGTGACCTGTCTAAGTTATTCACACCTGCAGGCCCAGGATGCCTCACTCAGGGGAGGTGACATTTTGTCAACACACACACAGCAGACAGGCTCCTAGCAGCCCTGCTGTCTGGGTGGCTTGTGGTGGTGGGCTTCTGTCAAACATAGGTTTAAAAAGTAAAATTCAGAAGCAAGTTTTCATGGTCAGAAATCACTCGGTCTTCAGTGTCTGGGAATCCTGACCAACGTGAGAGGCGTGCCCAGTGGCATGCCAGCGGGCTGGCATCACCCTCCGATACCTAGCAGAATGCTTTTAGCACATGCCACTTCCTTTCTCCCTCAGAGCACCGTGAAAAGGGGCATCCCACAGTGCTTCTCATCTCTGCTGAAAAGGATATGAAAGTTCAAGGAGTTTATGTGGTTTGTCTAGGAGCTGGTGTTTAGGCAGAGCGGAGGCTGGGAACCAGTGTTGTGTTCTGTCCACTGGGCCAGGATACACATGAATACACATAGGCTGGCTGGTGATTGCTTCTCTCCTTTTGCTGGATTTGTAAGTCTGTCTGCTCTTCGTGGAATGCCGTGTTATTTCCAGGCCAACCTTTTCCTTCTCCGTAAAACCATTGTCAAAGATCTCCTGGGTGAATTGGGAGTATGGGGGTCATGGGTGAGGGCAGAAGAGAAAGGGGAGAAAAGGAGGGGAGTGGAGAAAAACGTAGAGCTCAATTAAAAAAAAATCCACTGTCAGTATTGGGGTTTTAAAAAGATATTTATTTTTTTAGCTTGAGATCCATAATGTGTCTCCCAGTTAGTACTTTAGCACGCCATGCATAACCCCAAGTGTACAAAAGCTTCTCCGAGACTGTGATTTAGGAAGAAAAGTTCTGTTATTAGTGATTGTGCTACTAGTTATCCAAGATGCGACATGAATCTGGACGTATTGAAAGCTGTTCAGCCAAAGGCCAAGCCTGGTTCTGACAGCCGCCCTCCCGCGGGGGCTCTCAGCAATCCCGCGTGGGCTGGGGCTTGGTAGAAAAACTGCGGAAATGGACTGGTGATATCGCTAGCATATGAGATCCCTGTTTTCTAGGTGATCTTGGCACTTGCCTTTCCATGGTGTGTGCCTGACCTGAGGCTGGGAGAAGGGACGTTGGGATCAGTTCTGTGTTGTTTTTAAATTCTGTGTTCACTGACCAGCTGAACAAGGGAAAGCGTTTTTTCAGATTCATATCTTTCCCTGGGACTGTTGGTTATTTTCTGTGTATATGGATGTGTGTGTGTACATATGTGCACACGTATGTGTATATACACACATGTGCCAGCCAGAGGGTAACCTCAGGTGCTGCTCTTCTTCAGGCATCGTCCATTTTGAAAAAAAAATCAATTTAAATTATTATTTAAATATTTTAAGATGGGTGTAGTGGTATACACCTTTAATACTAGCACTCAGGAGGCAGAGGCAAGTGCATCTCTGTGAGTTCGAGGCTAGCCTGGTCTTATAGAGCGAGTTCCAAGACAGGTTCCAAAGCTACACAGAGAAACTCTGTCTCAAAAAACAAAATTAAAAAAAAATATTTTATTATTTATGTTTAGGGGTATGTGTATGTACATATATGTGCATAAGCATGTGGTACCTGTGGAAGCCTGAAGAAGGTGTCAGGTCCTCTGGAGTTGGAGTTGTAGGCAGTAGTGAGTAACTTGATGTGGGCGCTGGGAACTGAATTTCGGTCCTCTGAAAGAACTTTGTAGAGATTCTTTCGGCCACTTAGCGCTGAGGGAGGGTACACACATTGGAGAATATCCAGCTCTGAGGGAGTTTAGAGCTTGCTGGACAGTGTTTAAAGGAGCTAGGGTTGCTGATTAAGCCATCGGTCCCCTCTAAAATGCAGTTCAGTGGTTGGTGGCCAGAAACCAAGTCATGCAAACAAAGTGGGAGTCTGGGTTCCCTCAAGGGCAGAAGGCCTTCAGAGGAGGTAAGTTGTCAGGGTGACGAGCTTGTGCAATGGGTGATTCTGTAGAGTTCAATCTTTGGGTCATAGTCCAGAAGGATGCCTGTGAAAAGGCCATTGCCATGCGGACCGCAAGGCTGCCAAGAGATTTCATTCTGGACCTTTGGCTGGGCCAAGCTCCACCCTGGATTCTCACATTCACACTGCCTGCCATGGCCAGCATTTGCAGCAAGCCTTTGTCCCACGGTGTCTCTATTGCACCCTCTACTGAGCTCGCTTTGGTCTTAATAGAAATTCTGTTCTTTTTTTCTTTTTTTTTAATGTAAATCCTATATTGAAGGGTGCTTTTAAAGTTTAGAGGCAATAGACTGACAAAATCCTATGTGTGTGTTAGAGAGAGAGAGACAAATGAGACAGCAAAAGAGTGGGCGTATGGACGCTGTGGTATGTGTTTGCCTCCGTAGGTCAGCTTTCAGGCAATCTTACTTTCCCCCCTGGGTTCTGGGATTGAACTCCCATCATCAGGCTTGAGCAGCAAACACTTTTGCCCACTGGGGTCATTTTGCCCTGTTTTTTCTTTTTCTGAGCTATAGTATCATATAACCCATGTTGATCTTGAACTCCTGACAAGAGGATGACCTTGCACTTCCGATCCTTCTGCCTCCACCTCCTGAATACTGGGTTTACAAAGGTCTTCCACCATCCCTGGTTTATGCAATGCTAGGGATCAAAGTCAAGGCCTCCTGTCCTGTGTGCGAGCTCGGCAAGTATTCTACCAACTACGCTATCTTACCATTTCCACTTTCTTTTCTTTCTTTTTTTAAAAAAAGATTTATTTATTACATATACAGTGTTCTGCCTGTAGGCCAGAAGAGGGCACCAGATCTCATTACAGATGGTTGTGAGCCACCTTGTGGTTGCTGGGAATTGAGCTCAGGACCTCTGGAAGAAGAGCCAGTGTTCTTAACCTCTGAGCCATCTCTCCAGCCCTTTTCTCTTTTCTCTTCTCCTCTTTTCTTTTCTTCTCTTCTGTTTTGAGACTGTCTCACTCTGTAGCCCAGGCAGTCCTGGAACTAGAAATCCTCCTGCCTCAGTGGAGGATTGAGTGCTGGAGCTTGTAGGTAAGCACCATTGCCTCTAGCTAAAATGAATATTTCTCAGTTACTCTTGTAGGGCGAACTGACTAAACATTGTTTGCTTTCCTTTGCAGCCATTACACCTGCCCCTGAGTCTCTGAGAACACAATGTCCGTCTGTACACCTTCCCACAAGGACTCTTCTCAGCTGCTACCTGCTCAAGACATGGATATCAAAAACTCACCTTCGAGCCTTAATTCCCCTCCTTCCTACAACTGTAGCCAGTCCATCCTACCACTGGAGCATGGCCCCATCTATATCCCTTCCTCCTACGTAGAGAGCCACCACGAATACTCAGCGATGGCATTCTATAGTCCAGCGGTAGTAAATTACAGTGTTCCCAGCAGCGCCAATAGCCTGGAAGGTGGGCCTGTTCGACAGACCGCAAGCCCAAATGTGCTGTGGCCAACTTCTGGACACCTCTCTCCTTTAGCGACCCATTGTCAGTCATCGCTTCTGTATGCAGAACCTCAAAAGAGTCCTTGGTACGAAGCAAGATCACTAGAACACACCTTACCTGTGAACAGGTAAAGCCCTGTCTTCATCTAAGTCATGGATGATGGCATGATCTTCATGTCCCAGTTTAGTAAGAAGAAGGACATGTGGTAGATAGTCTTTATTTTGTCACTTGCTTAGGGTACCAGAGACATATTGCTCTGTCCTATTCTGATAGTCTAGCTCTTATGAAAAAGTCGTGCTTATGGATGGGTATTTCGAGAAAGTACGTTGTAATGCATGTTCTCTATGTGGCAATCATCACACTTATGTCAGTTGGGTTTTGGTGAAGGTGTTGGGTTTTAAATGTTTGTTCGTTTGTTTGTTTATTTCTTTTTTTTGTTTGTTTATTTCTTACGGCCAGATTAGAGTCTTACTGTAAAATGATGGGTAACTCACTGTTGATGACAAATGGTTTCCAGGATGAAAGTAACCATGGTAGCACTACAACTTTCATGACGTAGCCACTCAGAGCCAGGAAAGATAATGGGACAAGGCTTTAGCGATGAGCCCAGGTGGCGCTTTCTAAGGACCAAGGAGGAACTCACTGTAGGAGCCTAGCAAACATTTCCGAAGTTAAAACAAGTTGATCCCCAAATGCATGGCCAAGTGACAGATTACTTCTGTCTATTTTGTAAGATTTTTGGTGCTAGCAATGACTGTGGAGGGAGAGAATGGTATATGAATAAGTGGCAGGAAGAATGGATTTCTGGAAGAAGAGCACTGAGTTATGGCACACCAACTAGTAAGTGCATTGCTTGCAGGGTGTGGTAGCACACTCCTTTGATCCCAGCATTCGGGAGGTAGAGACAGACGGATCTCAATGTTTGGGGCCAGCCAGGTCTGCATAGTGGGTTCCAGGACAGCCAGGCCTGCTTAGAGAGATCCTGTCTCAAAAAAACAAAACAAAACAAAACAAAAAAACCAAAACAAATAAGAAGAGCATTACTTTCAGACATTGTCATAAAACTTAGAGGAAATAGGAGCTGGAGCGTCCATCTCAGTGCTAGGGGGTGGCTTTAATTTTCATGAGGCTCTGGGTCCACCCCAAGAACCCAAACCCAGCACCTCTGAGCCCCAAACCAAATCAAAACAGCCTTTGAGAAAATATTACACAGTAATTAAATTTTTCTTCTAAATCTTTTTATTTATTGGTAAGATAAATATAAAAACTGTGGGTCACATCTTATGATTAATACTTTTCACTTACTTATCATTTAAAGGATGACATTTTCATAACCTCTCAAATTCTCATTAAAGTCCTGCTAATATTTAGACAAACTTACCATCAGGAAGGTTTCTGTCATTTCTAAATTAGTCATACCTCTTCTATCTCCCTTCCCAGAAGAAACATGTGGCAAAATCAGTAACTAGGGGGCGGGTACCACTGTCCCTGATGCTCCTCTGAGGAGCACTTCCTCCTTACAACTACTGAGCTGCCATCTCTCTCAGCCTCCTGAGGACCTGTGCACACTGCCAACGCCCTCAAATGCCAGTCAGCCCCAACACTGGGCTCTCTGTGATCTGATGACAGGTTTCTGGAAGGCAAAGAGATTACATTTGGCAAAGTTCATATTATCTGTCCGTCTGTCCGCCCGCCCATCCATCCATCCATCCATCCATCCATCCATCCATCCATCCATCTCTGGAAAGCTCTTGTTCTCTCTTTCGTGTCCTTTTATGATGTCTGTTTTCTCTTCTCCCCCAGAGAGACACTGAAAAGGAAGCTTAGCGGGGGCAGTTATGCCAACCCTGTTACGAGTCCGAACTCAAAGAGGGATGCTCACTTCTGCGCGGTCTGCAGCGATTACGCATCTGGGTATCACTATGGCGTCTGGTCATGCGAAGGATGTAAAGCCTTTTTTAAAAGAAGCATTCAAGGTACAAGACCGTGACACACCACTGCTTCAGTTTCCACACGTTGGCCGGCAAGCCACTTTGCAGAGATGACCTGATAGAAGTGTCACTGTTGGCCTGGCTGGTTCACTTCATGAACTTGAGCAGCTCAGACGAACATACATGTTAGGGAGTGTGTTGAGTGGGGGTGTATGGGTCCTCGGATTGCATGTTTTATAGGGGTCAGTTTGTCCTTACATTACCTAACTGAGGAATGGGGGTGTTTAGAAAAGGAGGGACGATATCTATTTACAACCTTTTAAAGATACTGCTTTGGAGAGAAAAAAAAAACTGGGCTCACCAGGAGCTCTGAAGTCTGTCTTTGTATTTTCTTAGGTTTAATATAAGGCATGCTTACGGCATGATGGTAGGCTGGCTCCTGAAAAAAAGAGAATAAATATAATTTATGGGAATGGTCAGGAATCAGGAATTAGCCGTAGCCTGAGAAGAGTGTCGTCCTTAGACTTGCGGCATGGCCTTTGCAACCCCTAGTTTTTAGTCTGGCACTAGAGTGTCTCCATGACCTTCACTGGAGTCCTTGCTGGCAGTTGTTTACTTGGTGCATACTTGTTCATGATGCCTTTCTGCTAAAGCATCTTTTTATTGTGTGTGTGTTGGGGGAGTGCATACATATGAAGATAAGGACAATGTGCCGGACTCAAACTTAGGTCATAACACTTGGCAGTAAGTGTCTTTACACATAAAGCCTGCGAGTCTTTTCTTTGCTTGTTTGTTTAATAGCATTTTTAATACCCTTGAAGCTGTGTGCACCTGGCTTCGAGGCTGCTCAGTCTTTGCTGTTTCTCCCTCGTTAGTCACCTCTCCTTCTAGCCCTGATTTACTGAAGTCACTTACTTTTAAAGATATTTGTTATAGAATATTATTTTAAGGTGTGCTACTTTTGTTTATGCTCTGGAACTTTTGTTTAATGATGCAAAGATGTGTTTGATTAAATAAGATTCACCTGCAGTCAGGAGGCTGCGTCAGCAACTAGCTGACAGGAAGTGGTAGGGAGGAGCCAGGTGGAGAAGGGTTTATAAGGAGGGGCGAGGAAAAGCATGAGGACTTTGAGGACTTCGTGGGAGACAGGAGGAGGTGAGCTGCTTGCTATTCAGTCTCTCTGGGAAGCAGGATTCTACCTCCTTTAGTCTTTGAATCTTGAGTTCTTTAGTGGGACAGAGATTTAGATACCTTCTCTTAGTAACTTTGAAAGAGTTGGTGCCTGAGGGAACAGAATTTCCTCAAGGCTGTGTGGCCCTTGCTGCTGAACCACTGCTGGTAGCAGCCAAGTTGCAGCTGCTGACTTGGATAGCCGCAGCTTAAAAGGCAGCAACTGTTAAAAAAGAGGACAACAGATATTTATTTTTTATGTGTGTGGAAGGGTGCATGTGCATGGAGGAGTGCATGCATACATATGTGCATGTGTGTGGAAGGATGCATGTGCATGGAGGAGTGCATGCATACATATGTGCATGTGTGTGGAAGGATGCATGTGCATGGAGGAGTGCATGCATACATATGTGCATGTGTGTGGAAGGATGCATGTGCATGTAGGAGTGCATGTATACATATGTGAATGCATGTGGAAGGATGCATGTGCATAGAGGAGTGCATGCATACATATGTGCATGCATGTGGAAGGGTGCATGTGCACGGAGGAGTGCATGCATACATATGTGCATGTGTGTGGAAGGATGCATGTGCATGGAGGAGTGCATGTGGATGGAGGAGTGCATGCTTACATATGTGCATGTGTGTGGAAGGATGCATGTGCATGGAGGAGTGCATGTATATATGTGCATGTGTGTGGAAGGACACACATGTACATGTATGTGTGGCGGAATACATGTACATGTGTGCTGCATCTGTGTGTAGTGTTATGTGTATGTAGGAGCTCATATGCATATATATGGAGCCCAGAGATAGACATGAGATATTTTCTCAATATTTTTAAAATACTGTTTTACTTTATAAATATGAAGGTTTAGCCTGCACGTTTGTCTGTGTCTCTATGTGCCTGGTATCCAGGAGGCCAAAGGCGGGCATCAGATTCCTTGGAAACAGAATTCCAGCACGTTGTGAGCTCTCATACAGGTGCTGGGAATTGAACCTGAGTCCTCTGTAAGAGCAGCAAGCGTCCTTAACCACTGATCCGTCTGCCCAGCTGTCTTTGTTTTTTTTTTTTTAAACTTTTTTTTTCCAAATATTTTATTATTTATTATGTATACAATATTCTCTTTGTGTGTATGCCTGCAAGCCAGAAGACTCCATTACAGATGGTTGTGAGCCACCATGTGGTTGCTGGGAATTGAACTCAGGACCTTTGGAAGAGCAGGCAACGCTCTTAACCTCTGAGCCATCTCTCCAGCCCTCTTTGTTTTTTTTGAGCAGTGTCTTTCACTGAATTTGGAGTGTGTTGGGGGCAAGCTCTCAGAGTCCTGCTGTGTCTGCCTCTGGACGCTGGGATTGCAGGCATGGAACACCCAGGTGCTGGGGGAGTCTGTATCCGAGTTCGTATGCATTTGACTCACAGGCGTCTCCCAGCCCTAGTCACTTTCTTCTTGGCTTCTTTCTGTTCTGTCCACTCCGTCCTCTCCCTTACAGCTTCCTCTCAGGCGATCCTTTTGAGTTTCTCTCCTACCCACAGTGCAGTACCCAATTCTCAGCAAGTTAATACCAACATGGGGGTTATTAGTGTGAAAGTGACAAGTTATCTTGTCCACTGGTAATTCTAGATTAATAGGGCATTTTACCGGGAGCAGAGAAGCACCAGTAATACCCAAAGGCTGGGGACTGGCATGAGGTGAGGAGCCATCTCTCTATGTGTCCCTGACGTGTATTCTCCTGTTTGTCCTGGTGTTACCACCACCCTGTCTCCTTTCCGGGGCAATAGACGTATTTGTGGAGAGTGGTAGTGGTGGAATACATTCATTAAGTATTTTTATTTGTGGTCAGTGCAGCAGTAGACCAGAAAGCCAGATTTAGTTCCCTCTATATAGTCAGAGCAATTCAGATTTCTGAAATTCAGATTTGAAAGGTTTTTGTTTGCTTGCTTGTTTTCAGTTCGGTTGACAATGTAGAACTCTGCATAGCCCGAGCTAGTCTCAAACTAACAAAAATATTCCCTGGGGCTGGAGAGATAGCTCAGTGATTAAGAGTACTGGCTGCTCTTCCAAAGAACCTGGGTTCAATTCCTAACACCACGTGGTAGCTCTCAACCATCTGAGGCACCAGTCCCAGAAGATCTGATGTCCTCTTCTGGTCTCCATGGGTCCTGCACATATAGAGTAGACAGACATACATGCAGGCAACACACCCATAGGCATAAAAAACTTTTAAAGGTATTCGTTATTATTATTATGTGTGTGTGATGTCTGCACGTGTGCGGGGGAGGGGTGAATGTAATGGTCCGAGTGTACAGGTCAGAGGCAAACTCACGTCTCCAGGTGAAATGGCAATGACTTTCACCAGCTGAGCCATCTTGCCGGCCCCACCTGATGGATGATAAGGTCCATCACTGAAGTTAGACCTCACTAATTTGATTAGACTTACCTGTCCACCGAGCTCCAGGGATCTTCCCATGTCTTCCTCCCCAGATGGGGTTATAGAGCTCAGCACCCTGCCTTGCTTTTCACATAGGTACTGGGGACTCGACCTCAGCTTTTGAAGCCAGATCTTTCCCGGCTGAGTCACCCTTTTGTCTCATCAGCCAGGATGCCACATTCTAAGCATGCAAAAAGGAAAATTCGTGACCAAACAATTGTTTAAGGCCCAGACAACCAACCCTTTCACTATACTCTCTATATCTTTGACATAAGTAGTTTGCAATAATTGAAAATTGCAGCTTAGTTTCTTAAAATGGTCTCAGATAGGCCAGGATGTTCTACCAGTAACTTCAAAGGTTGATTGCATTTAACTTTAGCTATTATTTTTATGTTTGAGACAAGGTCCCAGGTAGCCCAGGCTGACCTTGAACCCATTATTTAGCCAAGACTGAACCCAGGGCTGCTTCATGTATTCAAGGCAAGCCCTCTACCAACTATGCTATGCCTCTAACTCACAGCACAGCTTTTAGCCCTTCACACGCTTTCATTTTCATAGTTTTTCAGCTTTCCTTGCCTGCTTGTTTGGTAAACTGCTTGCCCAGGTCTTAGTGCCCTGGCGGCTGTGTGGCACTGGACATCCCATCGATAGTGGCCTCGCTTACCTTGTCACATAATGGGCTGCCAGGCACCAAATACTGCATTCCTCTCCTGGGCTATGGAGCACAGAGAAGGAGTCATGGAGGGAGGCTACTTGTCACTTCTGGTCCAAATTAAGACATAGTTTTGCTTGTTTGTTTTTGTTTTTTGAGACAGGGTTTTGGCTAGCCTGGAATGCACTCTGTAGGCCAGGTTAGCCTCAAACTCACAAAGAGCCACCTGCCTCTGCCTCCCAAGTACTGGGATTAAAGGTGTGTGCCACCACCACCAGGCAGCCTACCTTAGTTTAAAAAGCTTTTTCTTTTAATTCTACTTCCTATTGGCATTCTTTCAAGAAACATTAGTGGAGCCGTGGACTAGGTTGTGTGCCACGGAGGAAGAAAAAGCAATGGATCTTGCTCACTGCTGGAGAGCAGCAGCTTCTTGAAAGATGAGTTTGTAAAAAGGATTGGGCTCATACCGTATATTCCTAGAGCTTCATGTTTGTGTGTGTGTTCGGGTATATGTGCATATGTGTGAGTGTGTACACACGCCCATCTGGACGTCAGACGCTGACATTGGGTGTCTCAGTTACTCTCCATCTCATCTTATTTTCGGAGTCAGAGTTTCTTACTGAGCCAGTTGCCACCCAGAGAGCTACAGAGGTCCCTCCTGTCCCTGGTGCTGGTGTTATAGGTATGTCCCTGGCTTTTACACTGGTGCTGGGGATCAAACTTGGGTCTCTCGTGCTGTGTGACTAAGCCATCTTAAGCTTGTCCTTACGCTGACTGACCGAGCCCTAGC